CTACAGAACACGAATTTACCTTGCAACATTAACGACACCCACCTAAAGAAGATGGTTCAGCTCCCTGCTTCATGATATCTGGTTGCACCAAGGTTAACCGATTATCTTAAATTGAGATGAGGTATTCCCTTTCTACTGTCTCCTTTTTTAACATCCTCACATATCAGGCATTAACACATCTGAGCACATGCCACTTGCACTATTCTACTCCATGGTCATCTAAGTTGGTAACGTGCAACTTGCAATTGTTCCATTCCTAAATGTGAGGTGCCCCATGAGACATTTAACTCTTCATGATTAAAGCTCACTATAAAAAAGACAAGAGAAAGTTTACACAGAGAAAGCTTGGAAACCCAGTGTTTAGATAGCAAAGAACAAGAATGCAGTAAGAGGTGATAAGGGCATGTTTACCTGTAAAATTAGAAGGGAATATAAAGGTAGGTTAAGAGGTTTCAGTTTTTCCTCTTTCAAAGTCCTAAGCTAGTCTTATTACCAAGACTTCTTCTTTCTCTTGGGAACAAATCCTGAAAACCTGATACCACTACGATTTACTATACCAGTGAGTATTTTATTGGGTGAACTCTACTGCAGAGCGCAAAAAGGTCCTTTCTTATGAGGCTCTTAGCAGCTCCTCACTGTCATCCCATGAAATATCATTTCCCTTAACATGCAGTCAGACAAACGAGTTTTGAGTTATTGCTGCCAACCTCTTGCTGTGATCAGTTATCTCATATGGGTCCAAGTAGCACAAGTAGTTTTCTGAGGAACTGTTGTGGCTCCAGACATGTCCGTGCTCTACCGGGCTTTTCATAGAAAAGTTTATCTCCCTTCAGTCAGTCAGAACAGCTGAAATACAGCTATGTATTTCATAACCTGAATGGCACTAATCTTGAGAGCAGTCCATCCATAGAAGCTGTGGGCTGCATTTTTATCCTTCTGTAAATCTGCACTCCATACGCCTCTTTAATAAACTTACAAAATAAGTAAATGATGAACTGCCTCTGCTTCCCTCAACAGAAGTTTCCAAAGAACCCAAAACAGTTTTGGAAATTTTAGCCCTTGAAAATTAAGCTAACAGCAAAAATCCTATCTTGTCACCTTTAGCAGCACTAGAAATATCACAATTCAATGAAAATTACAATACTGCTTATCTTTTGGGTACAGGCAGTCAATAATTTATCAATAATTTATCACTAGCAAAACATATTTTATACCCTTATAACATGCATGCTGGCATCTGGCTAGTGACATTTCTGTCACTCAAAGGGACATCTTCATCCGTTTGAGATTACAGCAATTCTCAGGCACAAAAAAGTCACAGTTTATCATTTTTTTAACAGTGGCATTATTTTTACACAGTTGAAACTGAAATGTTATCACTCTAATACCTGAAATATTGTTATATTCACAATAGTTAATACCTTTCTCTTCACAGCTGGCCAGCAGGGCTATGTCCTTGGTTTACACAGAACAGTGATCTCTTTCTAAAGAATTAGAAATTAAAGAAACAAGAATATCCTACAAGAACAGCCAGACTTCAGGAATGGCCACTTCCGGTTCAATATGCATAGAGTAGTTGCTGGAGGGCAGTGAAAACAAATAGAAAAATCTCCAAAAAATCTGGTCCCAGACTTTTAATCAGTAAAAACGTGCTCCTGCCAAACTGATGCTCTGGGATACGTGCAGTGCTCTCCGCCCTGCACCAGATGCCATTTGTTTTGATCAGAATTTCTCAAATAAACCCTACTCTGTGCAGAAGTTCAATGGCCACCATGAAGCACACCACCAAGGACTTTCAAAAGGAGAAGCAGATGCAAATTTAGAACATAATTATTTGTAATAAATGATCAAGGGAGGCTTAGCACCATGCAGTTTAACCAACACAGTGATAAACAAAGAAAATGCAAAAGCTGGCTGTTATCCATTCCCTGATAAACTAGGGGTTAACAAGTACAACAAAGAAGGCACCCCACAGTACTGTGCTGCATATAACCAGTATTTCCTTACAGGGAGTAGCTCCTACAAAATAATTAAGAGGAAAGCCCTTTACAAGAACACTACTATGTCTCTTCATGCATGTACAGTAAACAAAAGCACGCACGGGCATGAAGGACGTCTGCCATGACTAGTTCCAAATGTGAATTCAGCATGGTCCATGCTGAGTTGCACTAAACGCTGTAAGCAAAAAGAACGTGAAACAGTAAGTGTTTGCTCGAGACAAACATTTAATCAGTATTGCACAGCCTGTATTTTTAAGTATTTTTAATCTGGGAGAGCCATATAGCTCTCTCTATTTGGGAAAGACATAAAGGAGATGTCTTGATTCATACAATGATTCAGATTTAAAGGGATCTCAGGAGGCTTCTAGTCAAGTCTTCTGCTCAAACCACAATCAGCTCCAAATTAGACCAGGTTGTTCAGGGCTTTGTACAGCCAGGTCTTGAATACAGCTTCTCTTGGCAGCCTGTCTTAATACTTCATTATTTTCACAGCAACAACTTTTTTCCCCTTACATCCAGGTCAGAACCTCTCTTTCCCCACTGCCCACCTCTGTGAGAAGCCCGTTGTCACCTTCACACAGCCCCTGAATTGGTGGAAATGGTGGCTGTTGGGCCCCCACAGCTTTCCTTCCCCCAGCTAAGCAAGCTCCACTCCTGTAGCCTCTCCTTGCACATCAGCTCCAGCCTCGACCATTGTGGGGGCCCCACTGGACTCACTACAGTTTGTGAATCCTATGGTAGCTCAGAGCTGGGCCCAACACTGCAGACGGGGTCTGGAGAGAGCCAGCCAGTAGATCCACTGCTGTCACCTGCTCCTGGCCATGCTCCTGCCGGTGCAGCCCTGGAGCTGTCAGCCTTCTCTGCTGACAGGGCATCTTGCTGGCTTATGTTTAGCTTGCTGCCCACCAGGACCTCCAGGTCCTTTTCACAGGAGCAGGCCAAGTTAGTTTCTAGCCTGCACTCTTGCAGGTGGTTAGTCCATTCCAATTCCAGGAGTTGGCATTCACCATTGCCGAATTTCATGAGGTTCCTGTTAGCCCATACCTCCCTCCTACCTAGGTTCCTCTGAATGGCAGTCCTTCCCTCAAGTGTACTGACTGGTCTACCAGTTTCTCACCCACAAACTTGATGAGAGTGCACTCCATCTCCTTCTCCAGATCCTTGCCAAGGATGCCAGGCAGCACAGATACGTATGATTCCCTGAGGAACTCTGTCTCCAGGTAAAGAATGAGCCATTAACCACCACTCTTAGAGCATGATGATCCAAGCAGTTTCTCACCCACCCAGCAGCCCACCAGTCAGGATGTAAAAACTCAAAGTGGATACAAGGGTGCTGGGAGAGACTGTTGAAAGTCTTGCTTAAGGCGAGGTAAAAGACATGCACAGCTTCCCCTCATTCATGCATCAAGTAATTTCATCATAGAAAAAGGCTGGTCAAGCACACTTTACTGTTGTTCAATCCCTACTGGCTATTCCCCATCCCTTTCTTCTTTCTTGTGCCCATAAATGCTTCTTAAGAGGACTCACTCCATAATATTCCCACAGAACAAAGTGAGGTTGACCAGCCTGTAGCATTCTGGGTCATTGCTCTTGCCCTTTCTGAAGATGAATACAGTATTTCTCTTTCTCCAGTCATCATAGTCCATCTCTGATCTCAAAAACCTTTCAAAGATGGTGGAAAGCAGCCTTGCTATGACATTGGCCCACCTCCTCACCACTCTCATTGTAGCTCATCTTATCACAAAAACTAGATTTGGGTCAAGATTTCTCAAGAGATTCTTGACTTTATCCTCACCTGTTGCTATTCACTCTCCTCCTTGAACCCTCTCTCTAAACACACAGGCCCCAGAGACAGTGTCAACCGAAGTGAAGAGTTGAAGTGCCTCAGCCTCATCTGTGTTGGCTGCTACTAATTTACCCAGCCCATTCACCACAGGTCCACATTTTCCTTGTTCATTCCTGTACTGCTAAAGCAATAGAAGTTTTTTTTGGGTGCCCTCAATGTCCCTTGCTCCTTGTCCCTGAGCTCCAGGTGTGCTTTGACTTTCCCAAAACTGTCCCTACATCTTTGGGCAATGTAGCCTGTCCCTGCTTTAACTGCCTCCATCGCTCTTTGTACTCCAGCTCACTCACAAGTTGCCATTCAGCCAGGTCAGTCTCCCGTTAATGTCTATGAATTTTCCAGGACACACCATTCTTGCGCTTGCAGGATGCTGTCCTTAAAAACTTGCCAGCTTTCCTCAGCAGATTTAGTCTTGAAGAGTTGCCTTCCCTTGATTCCCACCTACCTGTTCCCTGAAAAAGCTCAAAGTCTGTTCTCTTGAAGTCTAGGGTCTGCACCCTACTCTGCTACTTGCCTTCCTCACCTCCATCAGGATCTCGAACTCCACTATTTGATTTCCAAACAGATCTTCAACAAAACCACAATTTTTATTGAGCAGCCCATTGATAACACTACTCTGCCCTCTAAGAGAGCCAGGATTAATTGGTGGGACTGCTTAGCACCCTCAGTCAAAGTTTTGGAAGTGCTGCAAAGACTGTACATTCAGCTGAGGCACAGGAACAGAGCTCAAGGGGTTAGGACAAACTTCTATATATAACTATGGAGTATTCCCTCACACTGAGCAGCATCTTGAGTAGCACCCAGAAATTAGCATGTTCTGCCAAAATAATACATGTTTTCAAATAAAACACAGAACATTGCACTCTAAGATACAACAACAATAAAAAAAAAAAGATGACAATGTCCATCACAGAATGCGCATCCATACATACCAGGAAGCAATTTTCTGACGAAACAGGAACAACACTACATAATTCATCTAACAACTACATTAGGCAGCTGTCACTAATCAACACTTATTGACACTTCACCATAAGCAGCATTTTCCTTTGCTATAATTAAATACCAGGCCTGACCCTTATACCATCACGAAAGTGACTGAATGTGAAAAATCACTTTGCAGATAAAAGGGTATTTTGTCCTAGACAGATACTCACCTTGGGATGCTTGTCAGGTAGGTCAGGACGTTCTGGAACTCTTTCTCGGGGATCTCACTGAAAGCTGGATAGTCTGGAAAGGTGATAACAGGGCATCCATCTCCCCCTCTTCCACCTAAAAAAAAGAAACAAGCAGGTGCACTTATGTGCAAGTCTCTTTACCTAGCCTGCAATTTCCCAGTAATGAAACTACTGGGTTTTTTTTGTTTGTTTGTTTTTTTGTGCAAGGCTCATGAGCATGGACACTATTTATTCTGAACAGTCTAGTCGCTTATTCACATTAGATTTTTCCTGTCTTTGCTCATGTGAATGCAGCTTTGACACCAGATGGCAGTGCATCTTTCTTTTGATAAATGTCAGCTGTATGCAACTACAACCAATTTGGAGAAAGGAATTAACTGATTTAGGAAAAAAGAAAAGTTAATTCAGAATTAAGTGGGTGAATCTCCATCTTGAACTGAACTCAACGTTCTTACCAGTTTGAACTCATTCCTACAACACCCCCCCACCCCTTCAGCTAGATGCTCTGCAGAACATTAAAAGAACTGGGTGAAAGTGTTTCAAATGAGATTTCCTGTTCAGCTTTTCAGATTACCTACAAAAAGTAAAGCAGAACTGAACACCTATGCAGCAGTAGGGATGCTGATGAGCTGGATACTATCTGTATCTTCTCTGGCATTTGCAGCACTGGGTAGAATTCACAAATGCAACACTTTTTAATGTGCTTCACACACATTTTATATACCAAATGCAATTTTTTTTAAAGGCAATGATGATGTTTCATGTCTTATGCAAGTATATTTTCATAAACATAGGCTGGACAAAGGACTTGTTGAGCTCTAGCAACTGCATGAACTTAACAGTTGGGGGTGGCAGGGACACATTGCTGGAAAGTTATCTTTGCTTGACAGTTCAAAAGAGAAAAACAGCCAAAAATGACTGTAGCACAATAATAATCATTTTTTTTCCAGCTCTGAAATCTGACAACCGTGCAAAGGCATCTGTAAAATGTATTAACACTGTGTGATCATGACAGTAACAGTGATTTGTGAAAATTATAGTGTGCTATTACCCACTTCAAGTGCCTTTACATCTAACCTCACCAGAAAAATATGAGAAATATTTGAACTCAGATTCATTTGATAGAAGAAACCACCTTTTCTCTCCAAAACCACATGTAATCAGAAGAGGTCAAATAGTATTCTTATGTTAATTCGTGGTGAATCTGACTTCAGTCTACTCACTTACAGGCAAAATGGTAATACCACTGTGTAGCTCTAGAAATCAAACCACCTTCGAAAATAACGTGCTCTGGATGCATTTAACAACAACAATAAAATACAACTATTATGTAACTACCACAGGTTAGAAGACATAACATTACAGTGTTTGGATGTTGTAACAGTTAAGTCAATGGAGTTAATTTGAGCTATATAAATGTTCACAACACAAATATAAGTTAAGATGAATTTTGACTCTTATTTTCTGTTCTACCCAGGTTCTAAGGAGCAAAGCATTTTCCTCTCTCATTAATAACATTTTTTCAAGCATGATAATGATTATTTCTGTTGCTCATGAGGTGTTCTGCTCTCTCTAGAATAGCTATTTTTAGGTACAATTATACATTATTTGCAGTATCCCGCTTGGTTACTTGCTTTGTTCTGCCTAACTTCTATAAATAGGACATATGAAACAAAAGAAGAACAATACGCTTGGCAGGACATGTCCTAAAAGCAGAAGCCCAGACTATGACCTTCAGGAAGTTCCCAGACCACCACCAATTGTAAAAGGCAAATAGAGCCATCCTGCCTTGACATTGCCTATTAATTTTCAGTTTCTAGTACAGTCATCAGTGGTTATCTTGGATGGAAATGACTCTGTTCTGCCATGTGCTGTTAGAAGACCGTTGTTCACTGATTATCTTTTTCTCCAGTTATTTTCCTGCTGGGACACTTATAGCACACATATACCTTCAAATGCTGTTCAAGTGCTTTTCCTTATCAGGACCTCACTGCTGAAAAGAGTTTAGGGTAGAGTGACCTGAAGTGCTATACATACTAAATTCTGTAAAATTTCAGCTGCTGGCCTGTAGAAGTTGCTTTTCATATCACAATTTTAAATACACAGCCATCAATGGGAGACAGGCCACTCAGCAAAGCAGTTGCTACTTACAAATGAGTGTTTGTCACTGCAAGATCCAAAAAGGGCATGGGAAATATAACAAAGTAAAAATCCTACATTTAAATTGTGTTTGTATTAAATAGTAGTAAAAGTAGTAGGTGAGTTCACTTTAAAAAGTGTCCTTTATTTCATGATGAACCTGATGCAGCAAGGATTGATTTTTTTTTCCCTTTATTTAGAATTACTTTTTTCTTGCTTCACCTGAGAGTGGAAAAATGATCCTCGGAAAACTAGCTGTGCTACTGTGAGATGGCACTAGAAAAGTTTACCTTAAGCCTAAGTAATTTAGCATTTATTCTTTATATTCTGCTACAGATAACTTTTCCCATCACAGTTGCAATCTCTTTGGGGCTTGTTTTCTTTTCTTATTAAGCAGGTTGGGTGATAGAGAAGTGCCAAGCCAAGGAAACTGCAACACTGCTTTACACAAATTCTGATCAAGAGGCATATTGGTAATGTGGTATCTGAAAAACAATCTCAAATGAGAAATAATTAATACTATTTTCATTTTAAAATAGCATTGACATTGAAAATGACAAAAACTATGAATTGTGGGGCTGCTAAGAAACCCACACACATGTGCACACACACAGAGAAAAGTGTAATTCCCCACAACCCTGTGAAGGACAGGCTAGTTTTGTTGGTACATCCAGCAAAATTGGGGAGCAGCAAAGGACATTGCTCAGACTTCCAGGAAAGAAGAGCAGGAGATTCTTTTGCAATGTTTCCCTAGTTATCCTGCTCCTGTTTACATAAGGAAAGGTAGTCACAAAAGCACTCTGCCCTGCCCCACAAAAAGGAAGCAAGGTAGTTGGATATAACTAGATGATTAAGGTCTTCCAACCTGAATCTATAGTGCAAAGGAAATGGTATTCAGACGATAAGAAAAAAATATGATCTCTATGTTGATCAATGTGCACATGCAAGATTCAAAAGTATCATCACTGGTAAGCGGCTCATATCTACGACTCTGGTTCGAAAGACCAAACTTCAGCAAAAGTAGTCTTGTTTGCAGTCATGTCAAAAGCGAGATCCTTGTGTGAATGAGAGAAAGGCTTACTAGAGATTTTGCTTTACTGTTGTAGTGGTTCAGCTATTGTGTTTGTATGTTTCTTATAAAGAATTTCTCCTTTCTACTTGCATAATATACTTAACTGGAGTACTCGGAGTATTTGAAGTTACACATAGACTTCAGCGAGGTAGTGGATAAAAGCTTCATTGCATATCCTTTGCAAAGAAAAAACAGAATCAGGAGGAATTTGTTAAAATACTCTTTCCTTGAAATTAGAGACTTCTAACTTTTCAGGCTGCTTTTGCCCCTGCTGATCAGCAGCAAGTATACTGCCTTAGAAATCAGATTGCAATAACTACATTTGTACCTGAATGTATTTGAACTGGAGATCTCTTAGACAAGGATTTGTTTTCTTCCTTTCTCTTTACTACTGTTTGCTTTTTTAAAATCTCTACAGACAGTGGGTTTAGCACAGTGAACATGAAACAACAGTTAAGCCTACACCTGTGCAAGACAGAAATTGTGAAGTAATACCTCTTCCACTGTCAATACACAACATATACTTTGAACACATTATATCGGCAATAAAATAAAGTTGATATTTTTAGATAACTGATGCAATATATGTGGCACAGGATCCACTCAGCAGTTCTCAAACACAATTTTACAAACCAACTCAGTACCTGTGGATACTTCAAAGGGAACAGTTTAACCAGGGAGGTATTTTCAGGTCACGTCCACAGAGCACAGCCAAGGAAATGGTTACAGAGAGCAAGGAGCAGCTTATTATTTAGAACAATAATTTAAAGGGCCAAAGCCCAAAGCATTCTGAAAGGCAGTAGCAATGCTAACTTTTTCACCTTCAGGAAAAACAATGAATTGATAGGCAAAAATGCAAGTAGCATGAACTTGTATTCATATTTCCTTTAATGGAAATATTTTGTTTGAAGTTGTTCAATGCATAAGGAGGCATTCAAAGGCAAGTGAGCTGAAATAATTGGCTCACTACTTGTGGTGGCCAAGAGTCTTATTTGCACATCACAGAACTTGCACGATTTGAGATGCATATAAACATACACACCTGTCTGTATGCTCTTGTTCATCTACATTTATTTTAACATACCTGCATAGAGCAATGGCAGATAGTTGCAAAGTTGGGTATGAAAGTCACACAGCAACTCTCCAATCAAGGAAAGAGAAAATACTTATGAAAGAAAGTATAAAATGTGAATGAAAGACTAAAGAATACATTTTCCAAAGACTTCTAAATGGACCTTCCAATGTCATTTGTGAGGATAAAAAAAAAAAAAAGCATAAGACTCTGCAATGTAGAAGAAAAAGTGGTTGCACAAATACTAACTAAACAAAGAAAAAAGTAAGACAGGTGAAACAGTGAGCCACGTAGACAGGATGTTTAATACAGCCTAGCAACAACAAAAGAGAGCAACGACAATTCTTGCAAAGATAAGGACCTTGTTCCACAAAAAGAAAAACCTCCAAGGGAAAAGGTAAACAACTGGGCCTGAGGTAAAATATTAACTTCAGGGTCTATAAACTTGTTATGTGAATGATTGACTAAAAATCTCATCCACAGCTTGTCCCTCCATTACGTGTAAGCTGAACACACAATTGCATACTCCCTGCTGAGCAAGAGCTAGAGCCTTCAGCATCTGTAGAAATAGCTAGCACCTTGATCTCATTGCACTTTGCTGTATTTCCTGAAAAACTGAAGCACTGATGTAAGTTTTTGCTTTATTTTGTTTCATTTTAAGCCTAATTTGGATGTCCCAGTAGCATTTCCATTATAATACAGCAGGATGAGGTACACGAATTACTTTGTACCTGCAAAGGAAAAGAGCCCAAGAAAAAGAAGTGACCCCAATTTGGACCAAAACACAGAAAGTAGCTCAGGAAGGGCTACAGCCTTTAGCCACAGAAGCAGACTAGGTTTCATTCACTATTCAAAGCAAGCGTCCCACGAGACCTAGATACATCCTATTAGGGAAACTAAAGCGATTCTCAAGTATATGCCACATTGCTGTTAAAAAGCCAAAACCTAAAAACTGAAATGCATCTAAGACATTACACAATTCACCATACCTGCAAGGATGCTATCTACCAAAAGTATTCGTAATCTATGGACTTTCATTTTAAGGAGTTTTATGCCATCTCCTAAGATTCTATTTCCAAGCCAACTTAGTAATAAGCAAAAAAATCCTCTTCACACACACTGTGAATGTCTTAAGCAGCATTTCAGCAAAGCCACTTGTAAGCACAATTGCAAGAGCAAACAAATCATACATAACTCAAGTATCCAAATATTAGCTCTGTTCCTTTGTTCACAGAACCCATAACACCACTATTTGGTACAGCACAGGAAATTAACTATCAGAGTCCTGCAGAAGAGTATTAGGATAAAAGAACAGAAGTCCAAAGTGAAATTAAAATGTCTAACAGTCAAATTGCCCAAGAATAGCAGTAGAGAATATAGACACAGTCCACAGTAATGCAGCTGTCCTACCATTTCAGGCAAATAAAACAGACTTCTAATAGACATGAGGGTGAATAAATAGAAGAAAACAGAATGAAGAATGGCTGGTCTCACTACGCTCCACTGCACAGTGGATGTAAGGAGTGTTGAAGAAGCTTAAGATTGTTAAGTTTGAACAGTCACAAGATGTGAACAATCTCCAGTTGGACTCAATGAGATTTTATTCATTTACTGTAGTCACCAGTTTTTCCCCTCACTTCAGAGTGGCAAAATGTAAACCCTACTTACAGTATCCTATGTAGGCTGATTCTTGCATAACTCTATTATGAGCTATTTTCTGCCCCTGGATAACAAAGAAGAGCTTAGAAAGTCAGAAAAATAAACTGCCAGAAAAGAACTGTAGCTTAAACACCATCATCTCAAACGGAGCATGAACAGCCAACTTCACAAACAAAATAGTCTTATTTCCAATTCCTACTATCACCCCATAAAAAACACAGTCACTACTGGAGACCCACACTTCGTTTAGCTTGTATGGCAGAAATAAATAAAAATTAATTGTTAATTATGAGCACAGAAAGATTCAATGAGCTGTTGCCAAGCGAAGCAGTACATTGCTTCATTCCCTGGTGTCTCATAATCCTATGCAAGAAGGTATTCAAAGAGTCATAAAGCCCAGTGTCAGCCCAGAGAGGTAAATCTCCTTTATGCTGAAGGAGGCAGGGCAGCTCTGCAAAGCTGCTGATGCTTTCCTTTCTCCACATATTGGAGGGAGGGCAGGGCAGTACCTCCAGCAAGTTCGCTGCATCACACCTGCAAGAGCTTTACATGCAAGAGGGCAGGAAAACAAACTCATAAGCTTATCAGACCCCTGCCACACAGTCTGATCAGTGAGCAAAGGCACTATCTCCCTTTACCCATTAGCAGCCAGCCATGGTTCCAGCATCGAGATGGACCACGTCCAGCAACTGACATCCACGTGGCACATAAACACAGGCCCCATCACCTACCTAGCACAGGTTATCCAGGGGCATCAAAGACCCTCTGCATTGTGTGAACATGGCTGTGCTGCTTTAAGAGATGGCTTTATGCCTAAAAGCAGGTTCCTTTGTGTTTGCATTCAGTATTGAACTTGACAGCAGAGCCAGCAGCAGCATAGCCTGTGGGCCAAGGACTGCAAGACCACAGTAACCACCAGCACATCCACACTGCACTCTCCAACTCTCAGCGAGGGCTCAGCTCAGACAGCTCTAGGGCAGTGTTTGAGCCCTGTCTCAGCTCCAAGCACTGGGGAGCTCAGGGTAAGTACCTACAGTTCCCTTACCACTGACTACAGGAGACTACATGTTCCTGTACTGGGCTCATCAGCACTTCCTTATCTATTTTCCCCTTTTTATTCTTTTATCCTACCCTCAATTCCATCCCATTATGCTGGATACTGAAAAAAATGAACTATAATATAAAATTTCTACTGGATGTTCCTTTTTTAAAAAAAATATTTTCATAAGTCCTTGAATAACAAGTCTTGGTAGTCTGTATTTTGAGTTGTTTATAAAATATGCATTTCTCCTATACGAGACCTCAAAAACCATGAAAGCACAACAGGCCCAACCATACACCTGAGCAATGTCTGTAGAAGGGAACACCACAGTCTTACCTGATAGGTAAGCAAATCGTTTCTTCAACTGGTCCTGAATATCTGCAGCATAGAGGGGAATGATATCCTGATGCATGATTTCATCTGTGGAGGAGAAAAAAAAAAATTTGCATTGCAAAGTCATTTTATGTAAAATTTCACAGCAGACATAAAAAAAAAGTCATCCCTAGAATACAAACACTCAGAAAACTATCCAACTTTTGAAAAATATGTGAAAATGTTCGGAGTGTTTCAAGTCTCTGCCAAGGGCAAACTTTTATTTGTACAGTATATTGATAAAAGAGTAAAGTAATGTGGATTTGCTGACACTCTGAAGCAGTATGGGATGTCACTGAACCAAACACTGTAGAGCTAACATTCCTCAGTTGGTTTTTTACATATCAAACTCAATTTTTATTAAAAACTTCTCAACTCAGAAGAAAAAGAGAGACTTATGATCCCTTAAGCGTATTGTCTAGTGTTCAAACACCCCAAGGCAACAGCACTCAACGAGGTAGATAGAACAGGCTTGAAAGGACGTCCTCACATTGCACACACACATTCGTACCTCAACTGGGAAAAGCACTGCTTAATCTTTTATCTCAGCCCTTCCGCTTTAGTTTAATGACAAACATACTGTTTTCGTGAGCCTTAATTTTTTGCCAGAGTGTTTGAGCAGAGTCATTTCCCACAGCATATTTCCAGAGGTCAAGCAGAAACCTAAGTTTTGCTGACCATGATAAACACTGCATGACAGAGTTGCTTAGTTCATTAAACTATGATCTCATTTTTTTTTCTTTTTACAAGGAAACAAAAAGGTTGCAATTTCTAAAAATTAATCATTCTACATTTTTAGCCTAATTGAAAAAGCACTGAAGGGTTAACCTAGCATTTTCATTATCAGGTTTTGACCATTTCTTTTAATCTGGCATTTTATAATGTAGTTTAGTTTTCAAAGTACATTGAAATGCCATTAAGACAGACTTAAATCTGACACTCATAACTGTGAACATGCACAGGAAAAGTAAGTGAAAACTTAGAAGTGATGTAAGGATAAGTGTCATCTGCCTTGAAGTACAACAGAAGTAGAGCTCTGGCCCTTAAGGAAGAGACTTGCTATTACTAACATCTTTCAAATGCTATATCTTGAGAGGAGAGCTGCTCACTTTTATAAGTGATTCTCATGTGTGCACAATTCCAAGAACTGCAATTATTTGAGAACAGGAAAAGAAAAAAGAAAAAGCACTTTCAGTTACTTCTTCCAGATAGCAACAACTTATACTGGGAAACAGAACTTCTCTGTCCTCTTTCAGCCAGTCTGGCAGAGGAAGACCCATGACCACTTTCAAGGTCACACACTGATCAGAGCTATTTTTCTGCATCCGGTGAACTGCTGTTTGATCAGAAGACCTCTGCATGCCATGCTGTCAAATCCATAAATGGATACGTTTAACTGTTAAGTCATTTCACCCAGGCCTTCAGTTATGTCACCATCTTCATGTTTTTAAGAGAAAACTGAACACAGATCTTTCAGAAGTCCAATCTCAGATGGCCAAGTCATTTCCAGAAGAGGCCCAACCCAAGGGAAAAAGGATTTTAGATTTTCTTTTTGCTTTTTTCTTTTTTAATTTAAGGAACCCTCCTGCAGCAGTTTAAGAAACTAAACACCCCTGATTCTACAAACCAATGCCTGCCAGTGGACCCATTTACCTGAATATAACCTATTACATGATCAGCACCTAATTTTTTCATGGGAGATGGGAAAAGGGAGAAGAATGTAATCATAGAATGGCCTGGGTTGAAAAGGATCATAAAGATCATCTAGTTTCAACCCGCAAATCACTTTGTAATATGCCATCCTGCTTACAGTCACAGGCAGAAATAATTTCCATTACCGCAGCATAAGCACATAATAAAATAGGCGTGTTTTGCATTCGTAAGTAAATACGTGACACACACCATTCAAGATGTTCGTAAGTCAGGGAAACTATGTTTCTCAGATACATAATTATCACCATTTCCTCATGTATCCATGAGATCAATCCCATTGCAGTTCTGACTTCTGCCAGGTAAAGACACAAGTCTAGATTTGATTGCCCTCTCTCTGATAGGAACCGTAGCTTTTGCAATCAGCACAGGGCAGCCCACAATACTGTTTCATTGAAAAGACAGTATTTTCCTCCCCCTGGTTTGAAACTCAGTTTTAACTCAAATTTAAGAGCCAGTGCATGTGCAAACAGCAGCTCACTGTGCCTGTTCGCAGAGAGAAAATCTCCAGAAGCCCTTCCTGCTGCTCCCTCCTTCACCAAGGCACAGCACCCTTCTCATCTGGCTCCTGCTGACCTGGCTTCATTACACTCTTCAAGAAGCAGAATATGTGTTAAGATCAGAGCTGATTGTCAATAATTTGAAACAACTGAAATAAAAAAAATAGCAGTACAAAGCAAAGCCAGAAAATGCAACTCTGGGAACTCCTGAACAGTTCACATCCAGACACTTGACAGGATACACCTGAACCCAGTATCAGTGCTCACGGATTTAGCCAGAAATCTCTCTCCAATACCTGGTCTGTTTTCAGAGGACACACAATTGTAAAAACTCATTGCTCTGCATCATTTCCTTCATATTTAGTATACCTCTAGAAAAGAGTTTTACACAGTTTGTTTGGGATATAATACAATTTCACTTTAAGTTTGTCCATCGTTACCTGAATATGCTATTTCCTTCACAGGATAAGTAAAGGCACGTACGCTGAACAGACTGCGAAGACACACACTCCTTACAATTCATGGACTTTGGGGAAAGTAATTTCTTGGAAATATTCTTTAAATAGAGAACCTGCTACAGTCTTTAGGGACAATTTCCATTTTAGTAAAGCAAATTAAGTGCACATGAAAACACAGAATTACTGAAAATCTGCTCACTGTTTCCTAAGAAATTTTTATAGTCTCAAACACCCATTATTTTTCCTGTTCTGTCATGACTGCTTTACATAGTATTTTCAAAACAGAGACCTAAGAGTTTGTCTTTTTTACTGTATCTAAAATTCAAAGCTGAGAAGAGATGCTCACACCAAAACATGCTAGAATATCTAGTCTTTCCTCAAGAGCTTATAAAGAGTTTTCCAGAGTAGTCTGCTTAAAATAAAGACCCCGGGATTTGCAATGCATCTGGCAGTGTGGGTGCTAATAAACAGTAAAATAAAGTTCTGTAAATATATTACTGCTTTTTTAATCATTATTTTTTAAAAACTGAACACACATAATAGCTGGGAATGCACAAGGTTTTTTTCTAAGCCATCAATTAGAGATTCTTTATCTTTAAATTGCGAGTCTAAGAGAGCACAGAAGCGTCATCTTACTAACATAAAGGAATCAGTTAAATACGTAGTTCTTATTTTAAAAAGGCCTTTCTCTTTAAAAAGCACAGTCTTGCAGATATGTAATCTTCTAGCTCAATTTTAAATCTTGCTTTGATAGTCCTGTCTATCCTGAGGGAGGAAGATGGCTTAGAGAGGCCTGACCGTCTCCCATCAAAGGCCCCTGACTACATTTCAAATGAAGCAGGACAACAGATTTAAGCGTGAGGGCACAAAGATAACTTGTGCTGGAATTACCTGGTGCCAGTAAGCCCTGAAGAAACCAGCATCTGAGAAAATGATCGATGTCACTCAAGTCAGGATTTTCACTTATTGGTCAAAGGCTCCTCTTTCTTTTCTGATCAAACCAAAACTCATCATAATTCGGAATTCACCTGACATGCTGAAGCAAAGCCATTTTCGCAGAAGACAACATTGGAGGTGAATCTGAACAGACGATACCTACATTATGCAGCAGGAAGTCTCCCAACATGACTCATGAGCCTCTCGTAATGAGTTTAATCCAATTCCCACCGAGCCAGCTGGAATTACACCACCCTTTGCATAGCTCTGCATGAAATTCTATACCATTACACTTCACAGCAACTTGAAAGCCAACCTGTTTGTACACATAAGGACACAATTATGCCTTACAGCACAGATGCCAGTAGCACACCCTAAAGCAAACTGCAAATAATTTCTCCTCCTCCTCTTTCGTGCTGAGTCAGCAAGATTTTCCTGAAAGCCTGTCTATGGCTTCTCGATGAAATTCACGCCTTGAATTGAGAAATAATGTATTTTTTCTCACCCGGTTTTGTTTTGCTTCTCCTCTGGAACAGCCTACCCACTCAAAGTGTTGAATGTCTTTTATGAAGGGGGTCTTCATTTGAAAAAATCTCTTCATTAAAGGACCCTCCCATCTGGTAATTATAAATGCAAGATAATGACTTTCAGAGAAGTCTCTTCATCTCTCTCAGCCCCAAGGCAAACCTTTTATTTCCTCTTTCTTTCCTCTTGGTCTTCACCCCCCGACCACCATCACTAACAGTCAGGTCCTTTGTGTAGCCCCCAAAGGAGGGAGGGCTAGAGCAGCAGAGCTGGTGAAGACAGCCCTCTTCAGTGCTAAGCCACTGGAAACTAATGAGCTAGTCAAGACACTAGGAGAGCTCTCCAGCTTTTAAGTTCCGCAGTGATTTTTTTAAAGTTGAATAGTGACAATGCCTGCAAGCTCTGCTGCTAGGTGTGGTAAGGCACAACAGCTGCAGACCAAGCTCCTCAGGTCTATGTGCTATTTGTAGCTACACCAGGCTCATGACAGGAGTTCATGTAAGTGTTCACAAACTATGTATTAAAACCTCACCAGTTCGAAGTATCTTCAGAAAGAGTTAATGTCCATTTTATTTGACTACACCGCAATCAAAACAAGGGGCTGCAAAAAGTGAATGATTAAAGCTCTAGAATTTTCATGCACAGCACAGCTCTCTGCTAAACTGTAGTTTAGTAAATAAATTACCATGTGGGTAAAACAGTGCTCTCGCAATTTGTTTGTTTCTGGTGAGTTAAATATCCCAAGCAAGTAGGAAATATCAATTCTTTACCCCTACCAGCATCCCAATTGCTAGCACAAATAGAAATAAAGCAGCCTTGTACTCCAAACAGCTTCCTATGCAACTGGGTGTCCAAAAATGATTTTAAATAGTACAAGTACGTAAGAATTTTTCTCATAGAAGCTACATCTCCCATTTCCTCTCCTAGTCAGAAAAGACAGTTTCTTTTCAAGAGCCCTG